AGATCCTAGGGGAAGTTGGATATAAGCCTTCAGGCCCATTAGAATGGTAGTTGGAAGTTCAATAGGTCTTTGGGATGATGACCTTGTGCCTATTAGCATATTGAGGTGTTGAATATGAGCTGGTGATGGCTGGAAGTTCAATAGATCTTTGGGATGATGACTTTGTGCTTATAGGCACACTGAAATGTTCACTATAAGCCTTATTTGTATGCATTGTTTTATGTGATGTGATATATATATATATATATATATATATATATATATATATATATATATATATATATATATATACTAGCCGTTTACCCGCGTCAAGCGACGGGTGAATATAGTTTTTTTTAGAAATTAGTTTCTTAAGACGATTAGTTCTTTTCCGCAAATAGTTTACTACATCAAAACAATTATCAATAAGAGTTATGGTAACAAATACGAAATCACTAAGAAAAACATAAAGAGTTAGAATTGTTTATAAATGAGTAAGCACACATGATTTATGAATCTTTTTTCCAATGAGTAGTGTGAAATCACATGGTTTGAAAATAAACTCGTGATTGATGACTTGTGGCAAACTAAAGAGATCAAGCGACCTCAGCTGCTCCGTTTAACACCCAAATGCAGCCTCCACATCAATATCTTCCCAATACGCCCTCACAACATTCAAATTATGCATACATGTGGCGACCACCACCACCGACTTCTCCTTTTTTCAAACCCCCTCTTGTTCATCTAGTTTTTTGTTTTCTTATGAGAGTTTTGAGAATGATCTGGATCTACACGACAATCGCACCACCGAGGTATGTCGATGGTGGAGGGAAGACTATTCCAGATGTATGTTGTGGCAGATCCGAAAACGGTGGCAGTTTGTTGTGGCCCGATGGCGGAGGAAAACTGCCTATGTAAGTAACCAGCCAACAGGGTGGTAGTTGCTTCTTGTGTGGTGGGCCATGTTGTAGAATATTAAACATGGTTGAAGGGTAATTTTGAACAAATCTTCCCAAATATTTGGCATTAACACACAAAAATCATCGTAGGGACAAAAAGGTCAAAACTTGACAAATATAAACACTTTTATGTCAAAAGCCTTTATGGAATACATTTGAAATCCAACTTTTAACGAATCTTGGTTTGCCTTTGGAAGATTTGTAACTTATATAGATACATATGTTTTCTATTAGACTGTTTAAAAAAAACAAATAAGAACACACACATACCTTTTTATCAACTGTTTCTTGACAAATCATTTATAAAAAAATTATATCGATAACTAAAATAAGAGTATAATCGGTGATAATGATGCAATACTTACTTTATGAGCATCCACGTTATGAACACAAAATCTCATTTAAATCATCCACAATTATATAATAATCACGTTTGGTAAATAAAACTAAATCAAATATGAACATTTTCCCACAACTACATATGCCAAATGTTTAAGCTTGGGCTTTTATTAATGTCGTGCAAGCTAATACTCTTCGGTACTTGTATAAAGTTAACACACCATTTGTTTTATCATAGCATCTTACTTCCTTTGTTGCTAACTATTTTAAGTGAAAAATAAAAGCACCAAACTTTTTGGTTGTTTTAGGGTGAATTGCCAAGACTACTTACTACATAGCAAGAAACATAAATGTATTTGGCGTTTTTGTAATCAACCTTGGGAAATAATGAAAATATGATACTGTGAATAAACAAATATATTAAAGTACACGACTATTTATTGCTAAATTCTAGAAACATCAACATATGTTAAGCTAATTTTTTTAAACTTCTAAGCAAACATACATTACACGCAAGACACAAAATCATTTTTAGCTAAAACACAACAAACATACATAAACACAGGGACCATTGCTGCTAATATGGAAAATATTCACATATGCCTACCTATATATGTATCACACATATTCAACCAACACAAGCACCTCATAAGTATACATATTTATATACCTAAAGATTTAGACAAAATTCACCTGCCCCCGCCCCCTCCAACAACCCCTATAAAATTTATCACTTACATCATGTGTACTCACTAATCTTTCAAGAAATCTGAAAATTTATATGATATCCTCAAAAGTCAAAAGCAATATATTTTATTATGTAACGTACCTTTTAGAGTTGAGAATCATAATGAGGTCCCTCTTTATTATTTATGAGCAAAGAAATGGTTGAAGAGACATCATATAACATTGACTGTATAACATCAAAACTGCATTACTGCAACACAAATGAAGCCACTACTTGAACTTGGTATTGTAATGATAATGTCTTTCTATTTCTTAAAACTGTATTACTGAAACACAAATGAACACTATACTTTCACAATACAAATAAAAACAACAATTTTATATTTTTGGTTGGATGAAATGAAATGAGATAAGCAATAGAATAAAGAGCCAAGTTGACCATTTGAAATTCGAAAACCACAAAATCCAAACTGAAAGAAATTCAAAATTAATGAAGGAATTTACCAATAGGGTGTAGCTTTTTTTTTTTTGAAATCTTCATTGCTAGAGTTGAAGTGTGCCTTCCTTGCAGAGTTTTTCCTTCTGTTCCCCATCACCATCTAGCATCATCCTAAGCCTTCATTCCCTCAATAGTTTCACAGACCGACCACACCTCTACATAAAATTGAAAACAATATAAAACATCATTGTATAATTTGGCATAAACAAATGAAAATTATGTTTATATTTTACAAAGTTGTACTTGAAAACCGATTTTCTTTCTAGAAGGTCAACACCCACAACAAAACTTGAGCAGATAATGCTAGATGGAACCAAAATAATTTCAATGTATTTACAAAAGATGTGAAACATGATAGTTGATTACATGTGGCCAAGAGGGTAGGTTTCTTCAAAGGTCTATTTTAAGGGGTCACTTTTTTTGTTTGTTTTAGACGCAGATAAACTTATTTACCAATTTGTTCAAAATCATTATTTCAAAATATTTGTAATTACTCTATTATATGAAAGTCAGAACAAAAATGAGAGCTTTTTGTCCCACTTTCAGAAATATGAGATTTAAGTATTTAACCGACTTTTTTTTAAAGTAAAATGGTAAATATACCTTAACAAACAGCACAATAGCCTCTTTAATTGATTTTTCCCTTATTTCCTTTATCGCACCTATGAGCAAATTCCCTAGAAAATAGCCCATATTTACACAAAAAATACCACTTGCCCACCTTCCAAGCTCTTGGTGTGGGAGAAGGGATTTAAGCTTTACCTAGTGAGTGATATTTAGTTGTAGGTCCTTATGTCTTCTTCCGAGTGACTGAAATCACCAAAAAAAATCCATTTTTATTTAAATTTTGTAAACACAGTTGCAAAATTTAGGTAAATACATGTATAAAAACAGGAAATTAGGTTAATCTTTCCAATTAGTTTGTGGTTCCGTTCATTTCCAGGCACCAAGAACATCAATCTGGGGTTTCGTTCATTTTCAATCTTCAATAAAAGAAAACATGAAAAATCGAAAACATTAGCCAATGGAAGTGGTTTTACCTCAGATTATGAGTCATGGTCAAGAATGCAAACCTGGACATTGATTAAACAAAAATTAACATGTACTGACAAATTAAAATACAAAATGAAGCAAAACAAACATAAATCTTTGAAAATGTTGAAGCAGAATCTGACCTTTGAAAACATAATTTCTAAATATAACCTCTTTTTAGCCTTCATGATTCTTCAAAAACCCAAAAAACATAAATCTTTCAAAAACAAAAATAGATATACAGCAAGAAAGAATAGTAGGAGGTGGTTTTGATAACTTTTACCATGTGGAGGTTGTTACACAGATGAAGAAGTCACAAACAGGAGGTCGGAGGCCGTTTCAGATAACCAAATCGTAAAGAACAATCATTGGGAAAATAAGCCACTTCTCGATTCGTGAAATCCGAAATCAAATAGTTTTTGGAAACACACACAAATAAAGAGAGATAGAAAGAGTAATCGGGGTGTTTTACCTCTTTTTAGTCGAGATAGAGTAGCAGGTGGTCCATTTGTACATTGGTGGTTCGGTGGTGGCAGGGATAAACGGTGGTGGTGAGTGGTGTTATGGTTTTTTTACTGAGAGAAGAAGAAAATCTATTTCATAGAAAAAGAAATGGAAATTATATCACTAAAGGAGAAGAGCGCCTGCCATAAGGGTGGAGATTATGGGTTGATGATGGTAACAGGCGAGTTCAGGAGAAGATAACGGATTTCAATTTTGACTTTTGACGGATTCAGTTCTTTGACCGGACTGTAAAGCATAAATTGATTATAGCACGTGGGGAAAGTGGACAATTTCTATTTTTGCATTTTTTTTAATCTTTTAATGAAACGGAAATTAAAGAATGAGATAAGATTAGCTTTGTTATTTGTATCATAAGCTTAATAGTTTGAACGTCTTAAATCTATTTTTAGAAATAGTAAGGTTTGTATAATAATATAGTAATATAAGATAACAAAGCTAAGCTTATCTCATTCTTTATATATATATATATATATATATATATATATATATATATATATATATATATATATATGCAAACGGGACGAGGGTTACATCCCATGCCCCCGAAATTCATCCGTTCCCCCGCCCCCACCCCGTCCCCGAAATCTCCAACCTTCCCGCCCCGCCCCTGAATTCCTGGATTACCCCCGTCCTTGTTTCCCCCCGCCCCCGATGATTTTGGATTGTCTTTTTTTGCTCTAAAAGTTCTTTTTTGGGCTAAAAGAAACTATTTTTTAGATAAAAAAATAGTTATTTATAACAAAATTTTACATGTTAAAAACAAAAATATTATGACATCTCAAAAACATTATACTAAAAACTTAAAATTATGATTTTTGCTAATTTGACAGCTCAAAATTATTTTATTATTTATTATATTTATATAAATAATGTAGCCATAAAAAAAAACTTAAAGTAACACAAAACATTTAAATTGTTTTGTTCTTATTTGGATGCCTATATTTATAATGATGCCTCCAGTTTATAATGAGATAAATATAGATTTGCCCCCAACTGAGTTGCCAAACATACAGCGATCTACCTGTGCTTTTACGCAAAAAAAAAGCAGTTGTACTCATTCCATGATCGATCATTGGAGTCGACGACGCTAGTTTGGTCTCACTTACGTTGTTGATTCGACTTCTAATTCACTCGATCTTCCGCTCTGTATCCCCATGGACGGACTTCGTAAACAGCAGGTTTTCTGATATGTGCAATTCCCGAATTTGTTTGACCACAATTCATGATAATTTAATACCTAGGGCGATGTTACCATGTGTTTATTTCAATTTAAAATCATTATAAGAATTTCCTGTGTGATTTTGTATCATAATTTGGCTTAATTGATGAATTAGTTGGTGGTTGAGTGGATTGAACATCTTAGAATTACTCTCTGAACGCTGTTTGGGTTGGGTTTAGGTGTCGCTGCGTGGTTCGAGTGCGAAAGAGATCACTAGGGATGCCTTACTCGAAAAGGTTACGCAAGAGAGGGAATTTCGCAATTACATGCGTCGAGCTTCCGCAGCTTCACTTTTTATTCAGGTTTTTATACTTCCTTCCAAAATAAGAGCTACATGCTGTCTTTGAGGATTGAACTTGCTACTTTACTACTTGAAATGAATTGAATTTTTAACTTTTGAGAACAATCTGATGGCTTCTACATTATACCCCAAGAACTAAAACAATGAATGACTTGTCAAATCTTGTGTAGAGGGTTTGGAGACGCTATGCTTCAACAAAGATGGCAGCTGCACATCTTCGAGAAGAGTGGCAGGAGATGCTTAATAGTCATCCAGTTCCTATGATCAGAGCTTGGATTTCCAACAACCTATTGAAACCTTTTCTTTTCTTCATTACAACTTTAGCAACTGGGCGTCAAAGGTTTGAAGATAGAGATGTAGAATGTATGCAGATCTGCTTCAAAATTCTTTTGGAGAGCATAAATTCCAGTGGTATGCTATGCTTTTTCTCTACTTAAATATCAGATTCTTAAACGCATTATAGCACACTTTTTGTGTCTACCAGTTTATATCATTTCTATGATTTTAAATACTTTTGAACTGATTTACAAATCCTTAATTCAAGCTTTCATTTTAAAGATCCACAGAGAAACTTCTGCTCCCTTGCCACATCTAACATTGAAGAGAGAAGAACATGGACATATCAAGCAAAGAAGTTGATTTCCTTATGTCTACTCATTCTTTCAGAATGTGATTACTCATATCAAGAGGGACACCAATACATAGTTCTTACATCTATGGCAATGCGGTTTGTTGTTAGCTTGACTGATCTGAAAGGATGGAAAACTCTTGATGATGTCACTCTTCAAGAAGCAGATACATCAGTGAAAGATCTAGTATCATACATGTGCAGTGAGAAAAGTCGGCTTTACATTTCCATCAGAAGATACATTAGTAGATTGGAAGTTCCTCTTTCTTCAACTACTGGACATACACATACACATACAGATGACAGATTCTTGATTACTGCAAGTGCAATCACTTTAGCACTGAGACCCTTCAATAATGGCAACATGAATATGAATGAAAATGGTCTCCAAGATTTGCAATTTGCTGTTGAGCAATATTGTGTGCTTCTGCTCACAATTCCTTGGTTTACTCAACGTCTGCCAGCTGTACTCTTATCTGCTATAAAGCATAAATCCATCTTGTCACCTTGCTTCATGCAAATATTGGTAATCCTTGTAAACTTACATACTTTAGCACAACTTTTTCTTCATCAATAATACTGCTTTAATATTTAATACATAAAGCATGAGAAGCTGATCAACCTTTGGCAGGTGATGGCAGATATCAAAAGAGAGAGTTTTAGATGAGATTTCAAAGTTGAATAATTTGGAACAGAGTTCAACTCCAAATGTGTTGCCACCTGTTGGTTGGACACTTGCAAACATTATTTCTCTTGCAACAGGTGTAGACAACAATTCCAAAGATTCTGGAAGATTCACTCAAGATCTAGACTTTTCATCTTACCTTCATGTTGTCATCATTCTTGCTGAAAATTTATTGACTTGGTTCGAGGGAGCTGAATGGAATCAGAATCAGAATCAGAATCAGAATCAGTCACTCCAATCCAACATGTCATACAAAGATTTACTCAACCCTGTTTGTCAACAATGGCATCTAATGAAGTTATTGACTTTGGAAAATAATTCATATGAATTGACAGACGTTGCATATTATTACTCTTCAATGCTAAGAATATTCACAATCCTCAATCCAGTTGTAGGGTCAATGCCTATCCTCAATATGCTCTCATTCACCCCTGGATTTCTTTCAAATCTCTGGGAATCACTCGAAAACTCCTTCTTCCCTAAATCAAAATCCACCCCTGATGCTAACTTTAACATTACTGAAGATTCAAGGGATAGAAATAGAATCTCCAAGAAAAAGAAAAAAGGATTAGCTAAAAATGGAAGCACTAAATGGGCCAATGTATTAAACAAAATAACTGGAAAATCCCAAGGAGATATAGACAATACAGAGTCTGTTAACAACATTGGTTCTCAAATTGATGACTCTTCTGATGTATGGGATATTGAGCCTTTTAGAAAAGGTCCAGAAGGCTTAACAACTGATTCTTCTCATTTAGTCCATCTTTTCTCTGCTGTTTATGCACACCTGTTGCTTGTTCTTGATGACATAGAGTTCTATGAAAAACAGGTAATCCCAATACTAAATTACTAATATACCCTTCTCTTATGTTACTTTGTATTTATGAATTTGGTGTTTTTTGTAGGTTCCATTTACACTAGAGCAACAGAGAAGAATCGCATCAATGCTGAATACATTAGTGTATAATGCATTGTCTTATAACATTACATGGAATAATCATCCATTAATGGATGCTTCTGTTCGATGTCTACATTTGTTATATGAAAGAGATTGTAGACACGAGTTTTGTCCCCATGAACTTTGGCTTTCTCCAGCTAAAAAAAATCGTCCACCAATTGCAGTTGCTGCAAGAACTCATGAAGTTCTTCTATCAACCAATCTAAGATCAGATGATTCATTCCCCATTTCAAGTATGCACTCTGTTATCACCACAACCCCACATGTTTTTCCATTTGAAGAAAGGTAAAATCAAGTAATTGAGTAATTTGAAGTTGATATGATCATATGAATAAGATTAAGAAGTTTTGTTTGTTTGTTTGATTGGTTGAATATCAGAGTTGAGATGTTTAGAGAACTGATTGGAATGGATAAAGTTTCTAGAAGAATGGCTGGTGAAATCATAGGACCTGGCCCACAAGCTGTTGAGGTAGTAATCAGGCGTAGTCATATTGTTGAAGATGGATTCCAACAATTGAATTCACTGGGGTCAAGATTAAAGTCAAGCATACACGTGTCATTTGTTAGTGAATGTGGTCTACCTGAAGCTGGATTAGATTATGGTGGTTTATCAAAAGAGTTTCTAACAGACATAGCAAAAGCTGCCTTTGCTCCCGAGTAAGTTTGCTGACATGGAATTTTTTTATAAACCTTAACAAAGTTTATTAAATCATTATATTTTTTTTTGTTAAAGTTATGGATTATTCAGCCAGACATCAACTTCAGACAGACTTCTAATTCCAAATTCAGTTGCAAGATCCATGGATAATGGCATACAGATGATTGAATTTGTTGGAAGAGTTGTTGGAAAAGCACTTTATGAAGGAATATTACTAGATTATTCTTTCTCCCATGTTTTTGTACAAAAGCTTTTAGGTCGTTACAGCTTTATTGATGAGCTGTCAGCATTGGATCCTGAACTTTACAAGAATCTTATGTATGTTAAGGTAAAGCATATATTTTAAAAAGAAAAAAAAATCCAGGGGTAAAATCGTAAATAAGTTATTGTAAGTCATTCTTCTTGTTCTTGATATATTATTGCAGCATTATGATGGCGATGTGAAGGATCTGTGTCTAGATTTTACAGTTACTGAAGAGTTACCTGGAAAACGACATGTTGTAGAGCTGAAAGCTGGGGGTAAAGATGTCATTATCACAAATGATAATAAGTTGCAGTATATATATGCTATGGCGGATTATAAACTTAACCGACAGGTATAAATATAATCATATCTCTGAAAATGACCTTTTTACCCTTTCATTCCCCCCAAATTTCACTATAAGATATTTGATGCCACTAATTATTTACAGGTATTGCCACTTTCAAATGCGTTTTATAGAGGATTAACAGATCTTATATCCCCATCTTGGTTGAAATTGTTTAATGCCAGTGAATTTAATCAGGTATTAAGTATTGCTTAAATTGATTTATCTTAATTTTTTAATTAAATCAACTAAAGTTTTTTTTTAAAAAAAAAAGCTTCTTTCTGGTGGAAACCATGACATTGATGTTGATGATTTGAGAAATAACACACGGTACACTGGTGGTTACACTGAAGGAAGTCGGACAGTTAAGCTCTTTTGGGAGGTATGCATAATTTACATTTCTGGTCCCTGTAGTTTTAAACGTTTTTAATTTGCAAGAGTAAAAAGTATGTTGCTATTTTGTGTTATTAATGACATTTTTACTTGGGTCAGGTAATAAGAGAATTTGAGGCAAAAGAAAGGTGTCTGTTAATGAAATTTGTGACAAGTTGTTCTCGGGCTCCATTGCTTGGGTTTAAACACTTGCAGCCAAGTTTTACAATCCACAAGGTATTTTTCTTTTTCTTTTAAATTTATAATTAATTATGAATATAAACTTTTATTTTTAATAAGAGAATGATCTTAATTAATATATTATAGGTTGCATGTGATTTACCACTTTGGGCATCGTTTGGAGGACAAGATGTTGATCGTCTTCCATCAGCTTCAACATGCTATAATACTCTCAAGGTTTTTTTTTTTTTTTTTTTTTTTTTTTTTTTTTTTTAAATATTTTTCTTTTATTAAGGTGATGATAATATTTTTAATTTAATTTAATAATATGCAGCTTCCAACTTACAAAAGATCAAGCACATTAAGAACAAAGCTACTATATGCCATTAATTCCAATGCAGGATTTGAACTTTCATAAATCACTTAAATAGTGTGTGCATTACTTAGGTAAGCCTCTCTATATATACATTTTTTTTGTGCATATTTCATGAATATGATTTGTAATGTATTTCTTTATTTTTTTATTTTTAAATTTCTAGATAGGGTTACTTGATGGATAGTAAGTCAAGGGGATGATCTATGTGATTCACTTATAAATTATTGATGTAAAGTTTATCCAACAAGTTAAAGGTTTGTGTATGATGTATATGAATTAAAAGTGTATTTTGTAGCATGATTGGTGATTTTATACGAGTGCCTAGGGGATTTTAGTGTCACGTGTCAATGTCATTTTTAGTGGGAATTTATGAGTGTCAAATGGGATTTGATAAAATTTTTGTTATTTGATCAAACTTAAACGAAATGGTATTGAATTTAAACATTTATTTACTTGTAAATTCATTGTGTTTTTTTGATGACACTGCATAAATTGGTTCTCTCCATGGATTATTTCCAAGTTTTCAATGGAATATTTTTTATTTAAGAAATTGTAATCAATAGATTCATTTTGAAAAGTGAGTTTGATTCACTGAGCAACTATCAAACAACAATTGATTCAATCAGCGTCTATCAAAAAACAACTTAAAACAATGGTTGAAAGTTTATTTATTTATTTATTTTCATTATGTTTAATGTTGATGTCCTATTGAAGAATTTAAACTCATTTTTTTTGTTTCTATCTCCAAGAAAAATGTTGGATATTGATATTAGGTTTGATTTGTACAAAAAAAAATCTTATTTATGTTAAAACAGTCCAAATTTGAGATAGTCGGTCATAATTACATTAAAAGAAATTGTTTCAGGACCTGTATATGAAAGATGTTTCTATTACCATTGTGGAAAACTTTGAAAACTTGTTGGCAAAATGCAAATTTTCCTTAACATTGGTGTTACTAATAATTTGGGATGAACATCGGTTCGGATCCGGACTAAAGCAGACCGAGAACCAAAGAAACCGGAAACCGATTTAGTGAGAAATGAAGAACCGAAAATCGAACTGAATACCCTAGTTCCAATTCTGATTCGGTTCCAATTTCGGGTTTTTTTTTTCCCTTCTTCTTCTAGTCCGAATCCACAATATCAAATGCTCATCCCTACTATTGACTAATAAGTAACAAAATTTGTGATTGTCAATGGGAGATAATATTATATTTTAGGTATTTACAAAAATGTTTGCATTTATTATAAAACAATCTTCAATAAAAATTGTCAAATTTATTGTGACACTTGGTACTTTATAATAAATTCAAAGTTTGAGGGTTTAACTTAAAACTAATATTTTAAGGCTATTAGATTGTTTCATGAGTGATGCCAATTCCTTGGTAGTTGTTACATGAAACTTTGTTAATTTTCAACTTTAATTTGTTGACACGGAATAATATTGTATTAAAATGATATGATCGCTAGTCAAATAATACCATTTTGGTGCCCAACATGCATATTCTTTATTGTTTTCAGATATTTATATGATATCTTCACCAAAAAAATTTCTTAATTTTGCTGACTTGTTATAGAAGTTATGGGTAAGCGATTAGGACACATCTCTTGTTTATTTAATTGATTTCACCAACAACAACAACAATACTCTGGTCTCATACAAATGGGATTAGAAGAGGTAGGATGGTCGCATGTCTCGATCATTAGTTAGAGACTCCTTTCGTAGAAGACATCCGATAAAACAAACGAGATAAAATGTAATAATAAAAATATTATAAACTGTGTTTCTCTGCATACTATCCATGCATATAAAAGTTAGCTGACTTTGATATTTGCTTAAAAGATCCCTACATATCAAATACTATAAATGTTAGTAGGGGATAAGGTGGGTTGGTTTATATATTTAATACATTCAATCTCTGTTTCTATAATTAATGTTTTCAAATATTATTTTATTAATTGGCAAATATAAATATATATAATCTACTCCTAAACTAACACATAATTCTACCTATGTTTAGGACGGGACTTGAACCCCCGACTTCAAGGAGGGAGGATACCACCTGATACCGCTGAGCTAGCAGCCCTTTTTAAACAATAATTTTATAACATTGCTTTATTCTTACAGAATTTCTTATATACTAATTTCATAGGTATATTTTAAAAAAATGTCTAATTGTATCAATCACCTTTCATGACATAGTAAAAAATTAATTCAATCTTCAAAATAAACATCAATTTTGCGGATGACATCCGTGAAATTGCAAGTTATCTGCAAAATGATGACGTTATTTGAAAAATATTTGATTATCCCCCAAAGAATGCCAACGGACTAAAACGAAAGATATAATGGTGATATGTCGAAACACCGAAAAGAACAAGGTAATTGTTGTATGTGAGATTAAACAATAAGGTGCCATAGTTTTAATTAAAAAAAACATGTGAATGTTATAGGACAGTGTTGTGGTAGGGTTCTATTTCAAGTCTTTTGGTCCCATGGATCTCTAATACATAAACAATTTGAATAAATAAAAAAGTTTAAAATCAAATAAAAAGCTTAAGTATGTTTGTTCAAAGTTTGTCAAATTATTGTGACGCTTGGTGCTTTATAATAGTGTAGAAACATTCAAAGTTTGAGGGTTTAAGTTGAAACTAATATGTGATGTTATTGGGTTGTTTCATGAGATGAGTAATTTCAACTTTAATATGTTGACACGGTATAATATTGTATTAAATGATATGATTGCTACTTGCTAGTCAAATATATAAGTAATTAAGTATGTTTGTTCAAACTTAATAATTGATATTTTGGCCTTTTTATTCAGTCGTTAAGGACAAGGTTGTATTTTGTATGTTTGTTGTTTAGTTAAGAGATAGGCATTAGTCATGCCCAACATGCATCGTTTCTTTATTGTTTTCAAAATTTTATATGATATTTTCATAAGTTTTTCTTGATTTTCCTGGCTTGTTGCTAAAGTTATGGGTAGACGATTACGATAGATCTCTTATTTATTTAAGTCATTCAATATGTTATTTTTGGGGCTGTGTATTAGACTGAATAGTTTGGAAACGAAACTTATTTGCAAACATTTATTAGAGTTTAGAAAAATTAACTTCCGTATGTTTTAATGTTTTTGAATATCATTATATTAAATTCTTTTTGAATGATAATTTGATAATCTTAGTATGAGTTATTTACTAAAATGACCAAGAAGAATAGACTTTCAGGTATTTAAAAATTCAACACCTAAAAAGTTCAAAATTACACTTTTTTTTTCAAACATAGGACAAATATTAAACACTTGCGTTTTAGAATGATTAACACATTTTTTTTTCTCATTCATCGGAGGGGTGTGACGGAGGAAACATATCGATGATGTAGAGGCACCGGGTATATCACCAACGTGTAATGAAGTTTTCATCTACGAATAAAGTTGATAAACATATTATGACAAAGTTTGTATTTTAGCAAACACAACAAATATTACAATTCATCATATGAAAATCACAAAAAAAATTTAAACAACTGAAAGATTATATTAACACATTAACAAAAGCTAATGAAAAAAAAAGGTTACAAAAGATTAGACATAATAGGGCTTTGTAACCACGACACCCAACTAGAACTAACATGGAGCTTCTTATTCCTATAAACAAACCAAGAGAACCAACTAGAACTAACATTGAGCTTCTTATTCCTATACACAAACCAAGAGAATGAGTGCAAATCCAAAACCACATTGTCATAATAATAGCCTTTAACACCATACATTTTATATTCGATAACTAGAATGTATCAATCCAAGTTACCATGTCCTCTACATCTACAAAAATCAGAACAAGTAAGTCACACCACATTCATGTGAAAGCCTACAAAACCGAAGCCACTTGACAAGTGATAAAAATGTGGGAATCGGTTCCAAGTTGGTAAAGGCCTTTACCCTAGATAAGCTAGATAGATAATTCATTTGAGAAGTTTTGGAAGTGGTTTGAGTTCCAACGGATCAGCCAAGAAAAAGTCTGATTTTTTCTTTATTGTTAGAGGGTTACACAATTTGTGTAAGATAAGCCTTGAATATTTACATAGTCATGGGATGTAATGCCCAACAAGGTGTAAAACGTGAGTTTTGATACTTTAAGTTAATGTACGTTGGGTTGTTTGCTTCCAAACCTTCCACAAGCCTTCCTAATGAACCTTATGAATGCATTAAGACCTATCATCTTTGATTATTATATTAACCTAACTTATTTCCTTCATAGTCTAGTCCTTAAGATTACTTAATGCTTCAAGAGGTCGACGAAGCACACTGTAACGCCCTGTTTTGAAAGTATTCGTTTATGGATTTCAAAGCTCGAGGTTAGGGGCGTTTCGGTCTTTTATGGGCTTTGAGTTTTAGGCGAGGAGGTTCGGGCCGGGACGTGTTGCTAGAAGCGTAGGGTTTCTCACCACCTTTTCGTGGATATAAAGTTCGTCGGAAACGGACTTAGAATGAAGGAGTTATAGCACTTTGAAGTTATTGACATAAATGGTCCCTGAAGGAAATACTTGGCAAGTGAGTCCCATGCATGCAAGGGATGCATGCACGTGTTTGGCTGGGTACGCCCAGCATAAGCTGGGTTACACCCAGCGTATAAGGAGGATTGGTCGCGATGCGGAGAGGCGTACGCCCAGCGTACGCTCAGAGTCTCAAAACCCTAATTTTAGGGCATGCCACTATATAAGGAACATAATGGCCCAAACCCTAGCCTCCTTATCCGTCCCCCAACCTCAAAAAATCCTAAAACGTCTCATCCCTTCATTCTTGTGAGGTCTTGACCTTGGGAAGCTCATTTTGGTGGTGTAAGCTTGGAATAGCAAAAGGAGAAGTTGGCAAGGAAGAACTTGGGGAGTTGGAGCTCATAGATCTGGAATACCATCAGCATTTGGAACACTTTTGAGGTATAAAGTTCATAACTTTACTTAAGAATGTTTAGATCTAGTGTAGTGTAGTTTTGGAGTTATTCTGGTCCCAAGAATGGACCTTTATGATGAAATCTCGTTTGTGAGCTTAGGGTTGCCACCCTCAGAGCTAAAAGGGTTCCATAAGCAGTAAAGTTTCCATCTTGAGTGTCTTAATGGGTTCATGCATGAGATATAGCCCTCTTTATGGAAGTAGATTATCTTTTTGGAGTTTGGACTTGTTTGGGGCAAGTTAAGTCACCAAGTCAGTGACTTTATGGATTAAGCCATGAAAAAGGACCTGGATCTGAGTTTGTAGCCTCTGGAGTGGAGGAATAAGCACTTAATGGAAAAAGGACTTAACAGGAGGATTACATTGAGCGTACGTGCAGGTATGCCCAGTGTACTCACCATTACGCCTGTACGCATAGCGTACGCAGATGTATGCCCCGCGTAATCTGTCTGTATGGGCCATGTGTTATTGGGCCTCGGTTTGGGCTGTGCTTTGGGTTCTTGGGCCTTATTGGGCCATCAGTAGCCAGATAATATGGGCCAAGGAAATAGTTGGGCTTAGAGTAAGGCCCAATAGAGGGATTGGTCCCAATTTAGCAAATTGGGCCATTAGTGGGCCACTAGTAGGCTTGGGAAGCTTACATAGTGTTGGGCCTTAGATATGGACCAAGTTGGGTTAGGGGTAGAATGGTCATTTTACCCCGGAAGGGTTATTGTATTGGACTAAGTGATGTTTGGTATTGGTAGTAGGGAAGCCGAAGGGTCAGCAGTTCGGGAATTGCCAGTCAGCAGCCAGAGGAGTATCAGCAGGGTTCAGCAGTGCGAGGTGAGTCTCCTCACTGTGTGCATGGGTCTACAGCCACAATGCCGACCCATTATGTTTGTGTATAGTAGGAAGACCCGGGGGTTAGCCTTAGGAATTATTATGATATAGGTTCCGGATTACGATCCGATGGCAGGCGAGGCCCGAGGAATGTTAGTATGCTAGTTATACTTGTTGACTGTGTGATACTTGTATGTGCCTGGTAGGGAGGTGAGTGTGGGCGAGGTCCCGTATCTCATCACTATCCGAGTATGGACGGGGTTCCGTATCTCATTAGTAGCAGAGCAGGGGCGAGGCCAGAGTTAGGAGGGAGGTGAGTGTGGGCGGGGGCCCATATATCACTACTAGCAGGAGCGTGGACGGGGTTCCATGACTCATCAGTAACAGGATAGGGGCGAGGCCCAAGTTAGGCGAGGCCTTGGAACATGAGTATAGTAGAGTATGTCTAGCTATTGGTTATGTGTTATGTTATATGTTTGTATGTGTTTAGCGGGCGAGGACCAGAGACAGGTGGGGCCTAAGAGAAACATATATGTATACCGAGCGGGGCTCGATGCCAGGCGGGGCCTGATGCCGGGGCGGGGCCCGATGCCGGAGTTAGTCCGATGTCGGGCAAGTCCCGATGTAGCGGGCGGGGCCCAGTATGTGGTATGTGGTAGATTGGGGAACTCACTAAGCTTCGTGCTTACGGTTTTCAGTTTTGGTTTCAGGTACTTCCGGTAGCGGAGGGAGGAGCTCGGGGTGATCGCATGACACACACCATATTTGTTTAGCCTGGGATGTTTTACTCTGATATAAAAAGAATATGTTTTAGGATTATACTCTGATTGGATGTAACACTTTTGTTTATGAATGAAATGGTTGATAACTATGCCTTTTATTAATGATTTAAAATGAAATTTCCGGACCGTATTTTTAAGGATGTTACACACACATGAAGACATCAAACTCTCAAATCAAGTCATAAACTCTATTTAATCTTATGGATTCATCTAGGTTGCTACTAAATGAGTTCCATTCATGTTAAGACCTTAACAACATGTTTGAACATCTACTTAACACTCAATTCCATTATTGATCAATAATTTTACAAGCTAATATCAGAGATTCAAATCATTAAAATCATTGTTTATTAAAATGCTCATAATTTCTTGCAAGTGGCATTTCCATCAGCCTCATCTAGATTTCATTTTATATATTCAAATGATGAATTTAAACTAGATCATTGATATATAGTGGGATTTGAAACTACTTAAACATAATCAGTTGCAAATCTAGGTTCAAATTCCTCACTCTAGATCATGAAACTCTAACATTGATTTAACACTTCAATCAAGATCAAATAAGATTGTTATACTTGAGTTATGATTAATCTAGTTAAATTTGAATTCAAACACATAATACTAACTAGATAAGTTATCACTTCTTTAGATTAAGCTTAATTTTTCATTTTTATTCTAGGGTTTGTGAACTGCAAATTCTTCATGTCGTCAAATCAAACAATAACAAAGAACATTGTTGCTAGATTAGAACATACATAATATTTGCACCTTAGGAACATATAGCAATCCACAATTTATCGTAGAATCTCGAATTTTTAGAATAACTCAAACCCTAGGCTCATAAAATGGAGAATATAACTTGAGACTTATCTCTTAAAAGCCTCCAATGATGAGTTAAACAACTAATCTTCAAATTACACTTCAAACTCGTTTTAATTATGCTTCCATCATCAAAAACTCCATTCTCTCTCTCTCTCTCTCTCTCTCTCTCTCTCTCTCTCTCGAATCGCTTCAAGTAAAATGAAAAAGGGAAATTAAAGGGGTGTTTGGGATTACTTTTGAACATCAAAAGTCCTTTTTGTAGGACTTTTTGCAAAAGAAGCTATTTAAAATGTGTTTGGATTACCAAAATTACTTTTGGTGTAAACTTTACATGCAAGGTCACAAAAAGTCAGCTTTTTGTGACTTTTTGAAACCCCTCCATTTCGTCAATGCAAAAAATCATTTTCAAAAAAACTTTTTTATTATCCTAACATCTTTTGACTTTTTGAAAAAGTTAAAAAGTTAAAACTCATTCTAAAAACAATACCAACACCTCCCTAAAAGTGAAATATCTTGACTTTGTTCCTTTAACCCTTCTTAACCTTTCATTATTTGACCACCAAAAGACTTGGAATTTGACTAGTAGTTATTTATTTACATTATAAGTCCTTCTCTATCTAGTTAAATAAGTTAAATAAGGAGTAAGCTTAATTTTTCATTTTTATCCCGATTATTCCCATTTCTAAAATTAGGCACTTCTTAATTATTAAGTAATAAAAATCATAATTTTTTATTCTTAATTTTTAATTAAGATTATTATTCATTCACTTAATTAATTATTTATTTGTTTTTTTTAAATACTTTCATTCAAAAGACGAAAATTCTAATCATAAATATAGGTGTTACAGATAACATAATTATACTTGTTATTTCAACCTCAACCTACCATTTTTGTTCTTAATCAACTCGAACTGTATTTCTTTCGATTATGAATGTATATCCTTCGGTTCCTCATGAAAAACATATCTTTATGGCTTTGTAGATTTAGTTCATCATCCATCCATATAAAATATATAAAGAGTAATTTTAGTTTATTTCAAATTCAGTGTTGTAATCGACCAATTATGATTCAACCTTATAAAAAAAACATGTCAAATCCAAAAATAAAATATTTTTGAACATGCAAGCCAACACATATTAACTGAAATTCCACTAATAACGATAAATTTATAGAGATTACGATAAAAAGTTAACACATTACAAATGAAAATCAAACTTAAGCCATCACTAATACCTTATTCAAAGACAATAAACATCATAAAAATAACACAAACACCACATAAATAAAAACCTAAAATATCTACAAACAACAACAACAAAATGTTTTTAGTAAAATCGTCAGATTGTATCGAACCTACCACTGAAAAAACAGTTGACTTTTGGTCAACCTTCAACGCATTAAAAGCTGGAATGCTTCATTATCCGTCTCAATTTCATACTCATATCCAAGCTCATTTGCAACACCCCGAAACTCATTTAATTCACTTGAACAAACTTGAATTCCAACCAAAACATTCGCCCCCATTTCTCCCTTTTCACATATTAAATAAAAAAAAAACATTAGAATCACAGAATCACCATTCACCACACCAACATCAAAACTCAAAAGGGCAAAATCGGAATAAAAATATATATTTTAACAAACCTGTGCTCGGTAATGAAACAAGCTAATATTCCATCGTGGACTAAACCCATGCAAAAATTTCATCAATGCCCCTGGCCTCTCCGGAAAAACAAACCGACAAAGTAGCTCATTTTCAACATTCGTTCTCCCACCCATCTGGAAATCAAGGGTATTTTAGTCTTTTTTTATTTATAAAACTCAATCAGATAAAAAATAAAGTATGTTGCTATTATTAGGTATTACCAGATGGCGTAAATGATCCTTAACCATGTCATTATTTGTAAATTCCATAGTTTTTAATTCATATGATTCCATTCTCTCCACCATTGCTTGAAGCTCAAACTTTGTATGTAGCCCAACACTATATAACAATCACAAAAACAAAATATGTCAAAATATAAATTTAAATTTTTCTCAAATTAAAAAAAAAAATGATCTTTAACCTGTATAGAACTAAAGCTTGTTTCTCTCCAGAATCATATCGATACTTGAACTCAGTAATATTCATCGACCCTATCTGTCACCACAATTTTTTTTAAATAATAATAATAAAAAAAAAAACGAAATGATATTTCGTTATTTCGTTAATTCGTTATTTAGTTATTTAGTTATTTAATTAATTACCAGTTCACAAAACTGTTTAAAGCTTCCGGGTTCTTCCGGAAGGAAAGTTGCAAGAACAGCCTCCCGTTGCCTACCAACATTTGCAAGCTCTGTCACCAACCTTAATCTATCAAAATTCATGTTGGCCCCACTTGTTATTGCTACAACATTAATATCTTTAAGGTTATAATATTTGCAATATGCTTCAGCTCCAGCAAGTGCTAGAGCCCCTGCTGGTTCTAGAATACTCCTTTTCTCCTCAAACATATCCTACATCACAAATTAAAAAAAAAAAATCAAAAAAACAATAAAAAGATCTCAGACTTCTAATTGTGGTATCAAAACATGATACCGACTTTTATGGATGCACAAATGGCATCACGGGTGACAAGAACAACTCCATCAATTAACTCTCTGCATAAACGAAAAGTTTCTAGACCAACTTCTTTAACAGCAACACCATCTGCAAAACCTCCAACTTGGTCAAGAATTATGCGTTGACCATGGTGTAATGATAACGCCATTGCATTTGCATCAGCTGGCTCTACACCAATGATGCGAACCTATGTAAAAAGATTTCACAGAATGAGAATCTCTTTCATTATAATATCATCGTAAAAGATTTTTAGGGTTTTGGTTTTACCTCTGGTGAAACTCTTTTCACATAGGCGGCTATACCTGCAATTAAACCACCACCACCTACAGGGACAAAAATGGCGTGAATTGGACCTTGCATTTGTCTCACGATCTCCATTCCAACAGTTCCTTGGCCCATTATGATATCTGGATGATCAAAAGGAGGGATGAAGGTTCTTTTTTCATTTTCGCCTCTTTTTTTTGCGTATGCTTGTGCTTCATCGTATGAATCGCCTTCAAGAACAACTGTTGCACCTAATCTTTTGACAGATTCCCACTAAATGGATCATTCAACAATGGTGGAATCAGTAGGGATTAGAAGGTGAAAACAATATGAAGAAAGAAAACAGAGAAGAAAATGGAACCTTGATTCGAGGTGTGGTTACTGGCATTACAATCACTGCATCACAGCCTAGTGTTTTGGCTGCTAATGCAACACCTTGAGCATGATTTCCTGCTGATGAACAGATGACTCCTTGTGATAATTGTTCTTTTGGGAGTTTTGCCATCATGTTATATGCTCCACGAAGCTTGAATGAGAAGACCTGAAGCACAAATCATCATTCAGTATGCGAAACTAGAAACTTTCAACTAGAAACTTTCAATATGAACAGAGATGAATAGCATAAATAAGAACATATTGATGTTTGTGAAAGTTTATTATGACTAATTTGAATTGAAATATATGCGAAATCGTGTTTAGATGTGTGCTTACAGGTTGAAGATCTTCTCGTTTAAGCCAGATGTTGACACCTAATCGTTCGGAAAGCTTAGGGGCGAGCGATAACGGAGATTCAATTGCAACGTCGTAAACTCGATTCGACGACAAAATATTCGTCAAATACTCCATTTCACTCAAAGCACCATTACCTTCCTCCACCTTATGGTCCGGTACAGCGCCCAAATAGCCGGACTCGTACTGCAATGAAGACGGAGACACTCGAAGCACCGGCGGTGGTTGTTCTCTGGTCCGCAACACCGCAGTCGTTGACCTCGCCTCCGTTGTTAACAAATCGATATCCGCCTTTGATTTGGACATGGTGGCGGAGACGGAAGGTCTCCTTCTCCTGGTCGTGTTGACATTTTGCAATATGACGCCATTGGTGGGGATTTTCACGTAAGGAGTGAAACACAAGGCTTCCATTTGAGCTTTGGTTAGGTTTCCGGTGGCGGAATGCGGTGGTGTTGGCAGTGGAGACGAAGTCGGAGGCGGGGGAAGAAAAAGCTGATGGTTTCGACTTTCGACACACCGAATGGACACCGAGGGTTCTTGGATTTTGTAAAGGGGACATGTGGGTGATGGTGGAGCCAATAAGATGTTGACACGTGAGATGGCTGTTGAAAGACGACTAGCCGCCGGTGTTTTCTTTATGTTTCACGAACTTATTAAATATAAAGTTTGTCATGAACTGTGGGCTAGCCTAAGTAATTAATGGGCTAAACGAGGCCCACAATCTAATCAATGATACTAAAAATCAAGATATTTATTTGATTAGTAAATAATAATTTAGATTATGATTTTGAGCTTCTTGTTCTTTTAGGTGCTGTTTGTTTTTTCTGAGGCAAAATGTCTGCAGTATGCGGACCACATCTGTAGACCTCTGCAGTAAAAGAGATTGACCAAATGTAGGAATGGCAACGGGTCGGGTTCGGGGCGGGGCATCGTTTCCCAAACCTGCCCCGATATTTTTCGGGTTTCTTATCGGGGCGCTCCATCGGGTTTCGGGTTTTTCCATTGGGTTTCGGGTATCTTATCGGGTTTACAACAATTTATAACGAAATCTTTATTTCGTTAAAAGGTACCCCGATGTCTTATAAAATATACATGTTCTAGCTTCCCTTTTAAATTAAAAATATGATGCATCACTTTAATAAAATAATTTGGACGTTATATTAAAAATTATTTGATTTAAGTTTAGTGTAATGCGTCAAAACATAAAAAATGATCATTCAAACTAGATTGTTAATAACTAAAAAGATTATTTGATTTAAGTTTAGTCTAATACGTCAAAACATAAAAAAAATGATTTAAGTATATATATATATATATATATATATATATTATATATATATATATATATATATATATATATATATATATATATATAATCGGGGCGGGGCGGGGCGGGGCGAGGATAACCCACTCCCTGCCCCAAACCCGATAACGACCCGTTACCCGATCCGAAATGATCGGGTTTCGGGTTTCCCCATCGGGTTCGGGCTTTTTTGCCATCCCTAACCAAATGTCTGCAGTCTGAAAAAAGATGATTGTTTGTTTTTTTAACATCTGCGGGCTACTAAAATAAAATGAAATCTAAATAAACTGATTTTTTTAAACTTCAAAGTGATTTTTTAATATTTTTATGATTTTGTTATAAATAATTAACGAATTTAGATCAACTTTTATGTATTATTGTATAAAAAATAAAAATAAAAATGGTATGAATTAACGTATATATTTGATAAAAACCAATAATTTTGGTTGCAAAGTTATAACTAAACATTATAATTAGTGATCAAAGAATTTGATACATAAATGGATGGAAATAAACTTCGATTTTTTCAATTAAATCCATTAAAAACGTACCATAAATATTTTCTCGATAAATTGACGATATTGTATTAAATAATGTTTTACAAAATTTGGCAAAAAAATATAAGAATATATTATGATTTTTTTTCATATTTATATAAACAACTTCAACGACTATTATTGTAATAAATCTTTATTTATAAATTTGTCAAAAATATCATGTTTGTATCGTCGAACTTTTTTTTTAAGTTTTGTAAAAAAAATTTCAAATTGTTTATCATTAATAAAGTTGGAAAAAATATAAATTAAAAAAAATTTAAAAATAAAGATATATATGTTTTTTTAGGCTAGAAGATGTCTGAAGATGTTAGAAGATTATGTTTCACATCTACGCCAAGAAGAGGGCGCGCATACATTTTTAGGTCTGCAGTCTTCAAAAAAAACAAACGGTCTGCGAAGGCTAATGTCTGCGCGTGGTCTGCGCTGCGCAGACAGAAGAGGCCACGCAAATTTGCAGACAAAAAACAAACACTACCTTACTTATCAATGTTTCTTTGTATATTGACCATAGTTTAAAACAAATTAAACAAAAGTATTGAATAATTATATGCACTCAAGTTTAAATTAATGGTTAGAAACTTATTTGTCTAAAAAAATAACATATATTTTAATAAAATCAGAAAACACAAACATTAAAACTAAAAGACCGATATCAAATTTTCAAAACATGATTATATAGGGCACGTTCGACAAAATTAGCTGATAGCGGGTAGCTGGTAGCTTATAGCTTGTAGCGTTTTGTTAAACGCTACATGAAGTAGATTTTGATTTGAAGCGTTTTGTTTAAATCAAACGCTAGAAGCTTGTAGTGTCAAACAAGGCTTTCTGTTCAAAACGGAGCGTTTTGTCAAACGCTAGAAGCTAGAAACTCTCAAACGCTCTGTGTTGAACACGACAATAATCCAATATACTTTATTTAGAAATTTTAATTTCATTTTATGTTCATATATTTTAATAGATAGTTAAATAAAAGATGTATTCACATATTTATAAATGAATATTCATAAAAATGTATGAAACAAATTAAATTTAACTAGAAAAACTAATGTTAAAAGAGATTAATAAAATAATTAAATCATAAAAATTATATATTTTTTTGGAAATTGAACTTCCTTAACGAGGGTTTCTGGGCCAGCTTTCGCGCACCGACTAATTCCCCGCTGTAAACATGGGGCTTTGTCTCATGCCCTGGAGTCACTGCAGGCGAACCTCCATGGCCAGAAGGGCTGAGTGGTGTCATGATTTGAATATGATTTAATAGATTATCCATCATATCTTCCACATGTTTTACCAAGTCACCACAACTCAAGTGGTTTCATAGAAATTATATTATGAATATGAGTTCTAAGAAATAAAGAAAAATAAAATAAAAATATTATATTTAACATATAGATTCCTAGCTTGAATAGCTTCTATTTTTTTGCGATAATTGGATAAGACAAAAGAAATAAATAAATTCGAAAGTATTTGTTGTATCACGCTTACTAAATAATCACCTAGAGAGTAGAAAGATAACAAATTGTAACACCGTAAATTTTTAAACAATTTTTTTTCATTTAAATCACACAATTCTCATAACACATTTCACAAAAATCTCATTCATTTAATTCACAAATCGCAACTCCATAATTGTTTAATTAAGACTCCAGGATCCTCAAAACATAACTCTTTCTCTCTGGTGTACAATCAGCGCCGCGCCTTCCCGCGATCCTGAGAAAAACCTGAAACACATATCACATAACACGGTAAACACGAAGCTTAGTGAGTTCCCCAAAATACCACATATATCTTACTAGCCTCTCATGTCCATACTTAGATAAGACCCTCCGGTCAATGTGTCTCAGTGGGACCCTCCGATCACAAAACTCGGGTGGACCCTCCGGTCCCAACTCAATAAGCTCATAATAATAATAATAATAATAATAATAATAATAATACTCAACATAAATCACAAAGACATAATGCAGAATATCACAATACACAGATAAGCACATAAGACAGCTCAGTCACACAAGGATACCACTCATGGTAAGTATAGTGAGAAGACTCACCTCGGATGATGAACAGCCCCTATAAACGTTACTGCTACGCACCGGCCACTAACTCTGTGCCAAACCCACAATTATCCCAATTAGGAACTAAGTCCAAACTCTCACTCATTAGGTCTAAAGGTAGTCCACTAACCAGCCCATCAATGACCTAAAACCCATTGGGCCCACCAAGGCCCAATAATAAATGGGCTCTCCCGAGGCCCAACTCTCAAATCTAAATGGCAAGCCCAACTTAAGGGCCCAAAGCACATATATATAATCCTATGGTCCAAAGACTCTATTGCAACAAGCCCCAAACTCCAGGCCCCAACATCAAGGCCCAAAATGAGACTTACCCAAAAGTCCACAGTGAGGTTACGTGGGGCGTACCTCTCTTGGTACGCTCAGCGTACTCACGAATCCATATTGGCCATCGGGGACACTGGGGCAGTACGCTGGGCGTACAGGAATTACGCTCAGTGTACTCCCCAGATTCACTATTTCTACTTATTTAGTCTTAAACAGTTAAGACATTACCTCAAATCCCAGATCTGGACTCCCTAATGGCACTTACTCCATAAAGCCAGTGACTTTAAGCCTTTACATGGCTGAAAAGGTCACAAACACCTAAAACACTCACTTCCTTATCTCAAAAAGCTCCTATCTCATGCATGGCTTGATTCTAACGTCCAAGATTGGATTTTTATGACATAACACCACTAAATACACTCAAAGGGGTTGATCATAGTCTTTGGAGCTCAATATCTCATAAAGTCTCCACCTTTTGGGACAAAACCCTAAAATACTCTAATATGATGCTCAAAACAAAAGAGTGAGAAAGCTTGAAGCTTTATACCTCTATATGAAGCTTCCAACTCAGATATGCTCAAATCCAAGGCCTGGACTTCTCACTCATTCTTCTCCAAAGCTCCTTCTTTACTCCAAGAACACACCAATATCACTTAAGGCTCTCAAATGCACTCACAAGCTCCATGAACGAAGGATTAGGGTTTTAGAGGGTTTATTGACTGAGGATGGTAGCCAGGAATGAGGCCATCTCATTCTTTATATAGGGACATATCCAAAGTTAGGGTTTACACTCTGTGCCTAGTACACCTAGCGTACCCACTGGTACGCCCAGCGTACTAGGTGGCTCCGCCTAAAAATCACGCACATGAGTACGCTAAGCGTATACACACGTACGCCCAGCGTACTTCGCTGCCACCTTTTTCAATTAAAGGACTTATCCTGCCATAACTTCAAACTTCCATTTCTTCCTCGATATAACTCCGTTTCCAATGAATCTCATATCCTCGGAAAGGTGTCGAGATGCTCTACGCTTCCAGCAACTCGTCGCAACCACAAGACTTCCTCATGCCCGGGTTGCAGCCCACAAACCCTAATCTCAGACGATCCGAAACAGGATGTTACACACACACACACACACACACATATATATATATATATATATATATATATATATATATATCGTAGTAGGTGTTGCCGGTTGCATATTTTTCCTTTTACGTAGTGGCACAGATATAGAAAAAACGAAAAATTCTAAAATTTTTACACTGTATCCGAAAAAATAAGGGGTTGTCGGTGCCACTATGGGCACCATAGTGGAACCATCCCTGGCCGCGCTGGTACGCTGGA